CCCCCTCCTACACCTTCCCATCCTCTTCCACCTTATCTGTAGTCGCCCCGTTGTACACGTTCCAACGGCACCTCATCCTACTGCACTACCTTCCTCTCCGGCACCACCCTGCCTCTTCCAACTCCCACTCCACTACCTCCTCGACCACCTTCCCCTCCACTATCTTACTTTCATTTGTCACCCCCCACCCTCCATCTCCTCCTCTCATACTAGCGGCCTCTCCTACAAGTCCTTCCTGCAGCAGTAGCTCCTCCTCCACTACCAGCTTCCCTTTCTCCATTAGCTCCCCTCTTCCACCAGCTCCGCCTCCTCCACCAGCTCCCGTCCTCCACTAGTTCCCCCTTCACCAGCTTCCGACGAATCTCTCTCCTTTACCAGCTCGGCCTTCCCTACCAGCTTCCCCTCCGTCAGCCCCCCTTCCATCAGCTCCTCCTCCGCCAGCTCCCCGTCCCATTAACCATCTCTTCCTCCACCAAGTCTTCCTCCTCCACCAGCTCCCCTTCGTCCACCGGCACCCCCTCCGCCAGCTCTCCCTCGTCCACCAGCTCCCCCTCTTCGACCAGCTCCCCCTCTTCGACCAGCTCCCCATCCTTCACTGCGTCTCCTCCTACGCCACCTGCCGTTCTACGTAACGCCCGCCGTCCTACAGCACCTCCGCGTCCTTGACCTCCTCTTCCTCCTACACCATCTCTCCTTCATACATTACCTTCTCCTCCTACATTACTTACTAATGCGCAACGCCCCGTCCGACATAAGCTCCCTCTCCACTGTCTCGTCCTAACTACTCTACGCCTCCCTTTCTGAAGTCTCTCTCTTTCTTAGCCGTCGCTTTTACATTCGGCTGCAAAGACATTTCTTGTTCCCACGGTGTCTCAGTCATCCAGTTCACCCCCCTTGCAGCCCTTCTTGCGTGTAGGCGTCTTAAACCTCTCTTCTAGGGTCCGATCTTTTACTTATCCGCGTATAAATCCCCCTTTGATTTGGTCTCTTGCAGTTGCCCCCCTTGCATTCCCTCGTCTAACATTTCCTGCGTTTTGCTTTCTCGCTTCCTGCCCCCGACCGTCGTCACCCGAATAGAACGCGCGGTCATCATTGCTGCATCTGGACTGAAAGTTGCCCCAAATACAGTTATAATGACCGGGCGTTCTATTCGGATGAAGACGGTAGTTGTGCGGCTCCCTGTTCGACCCGTCCTCGTCCTCTACCCCTTGCTTTGTACCCTCTCTATTATCGTACCTCCCCTCATTTTACCTCGACCATCCTCCCTTCCAGCACCTCCCCTCATCTAAACTCTCCCGTATTACTCTTCTCTTCTCATTTATCCGTATTGGCCTTGGCTGTTTTGGCCCTACCTTCGTTCCACTCCCTGCGTTTATTGTCCGAGGTTGACTCAGACAGCATCGACATTGTTTCTCTGCGTGCCTTGCCAGTATGTCTGCGTGTGGCTGACAGTACTTCGCTTGGTTGAATTCTTTTTGTCGGCATGCGATGCAGGCATGCTACCGTCTTTGCCCGAATAGAACATACGGTCACTATAGCTGTATGTGATATGTGCAGCGATAAAGTCGGCAGATTGATGAGAAATCGTATGACCAACTTTTGGGAGTGGTTGCCCAAACAAATTATCAACTGCCCATGAATTCTCTTTGCCACGGCCACTGTCTTCTCTTGAATTCAATCCTTCCAATCATCAGTGTATGGAAGCTCTCTCTCGGGTTCAGTACTGTCATGATGAGGCTGCTTTGAGTCTGGGGATCTTTTCTACAGGCAACGTCTTCCCTCAAACACAATTCCCCCCGATCATGACTGTATAGAAGCTATCTTTCCTGTCCGATACAGTCGTGACAAAGCTGCGTTGCATCTGGGGAAAGTCTGTCGGCCGGCAATCTTTGGGCTCTTGTGTCATTTTGTTAGAGTGAATTCGCTAAACGCTTTGTAGGCGTAGGCGCAGGGGCTGATGTGTAGTATGGTACACCTGTACGTTGGGTTTAGATGGAGCTACACTGGATGGGCTGTGATTTTCTTGTGTGTGTAGATATTCTTTCCTCTGCTTATATCCCTTACGTCCGCGCTGGCATCTTTTCCCATACGGTGGACTTGTTAGTTCATCTCTATTATTAGAGTCTGTATTGGCAACACACAATCAAAAGAAAAAGGAAAAAAAAAAGGAAAAAAAGGAAAAGAAACAAAGAGCCTGTATTGGCATTACAAGCTACCGGTAGATGAAAATGCCGGGGCATGATTTTCCATGTGAAAAAAAAAAGCTGGAACATGAACGGTGGTAAACACAAAGGGATGACGTCATGAGAGGTTGTGGACGGATATCCATTTGCAGACTGTGAGGGCCTACTTACATTAGCACTTTCCCCAAATGTTTCTGGCCGCAATTACAGCCCAACCTGGATGTATTGGACCACAATCACATCCAGAGCTCAGTCAAAAAAGTCCTAGTGTGAGTATGTCCTGAGGGAGATACATGAACATGCACACTGTGTGGAATGGGTAGAGTTTGTGGGCGCATCGGACGCACAGGACAAATCAGGGAAAGACCAACGGAGTAAGAGACATGCAGTTACCTGCGCAGTGTATGACATGTGTTGGGCCAGAGGTCTATGAGCTGCATCACGATATGTTGAACGAACACGTTTGACTGAGTTCATGATATGGGTTCAAAGATATGTGTTTGGCGTTTGGCATAACGCATGTAGTGTGCCAGGCCCGCCCATGGAGGCGAAGGCAAAGCCAAGCAACACACGTCTGCCGCCTGAAAGTGTGTGTAAGGAATATTCTGTTTGTGAAGGGAGGGAAAAGCACTCTCCGTTATGTTTGTATTTGGCATTTTTCACATAACGTACAAAGTGTAGCTTTGCCTGCCATTTGAAGGTGTAGTATTGTGCCATTTTTTTTTGGGGCGGGGGGCGGGGGTGCACAGAAGATTCCCTGTTATCTTTGTGTGTTTGGATATCTTGCAGACGGGAAAGGAACGTCCGGTATGTTTGTGTTTGGCCTTCACGGGAGAAGACCTGATCCTAATGGCAACAACTCGTAAAATCCATTTGCCAAGGTTCTAGCCAGGCAACTTCAACATCAAATGAAAGAGGGGAAGTCAACATCATGCAAGTAAGCAGCACAAAGAAAGTTAAAAAAGCTTAAGTTAGCAGCACAAAGAAAGTTAAAAAAGCTTAAGTAAGCAGCACAAAGGAAGTTAGAAAACCCTTTTTTTTTTTTTTTTTTTTTTTTTTTTTTTTTTTTTTTTTTTTTTAAGAAGACGCTTACTTATATTCCAAACACAATTCAACAGAGGCCGGGGACCTCACAATTCGACCCGGAGTTAAAAACCTTTTCCATTGAGGCCTGGAGTAGAATACCCCTGTTGCAAAAAAAACAAAAAGAAAAAAAGAAAAAAAACGAAAAGAATACCCCTGTTGCCTTGCCGGGAAAGATTGTCCCTTTTTATAGGCTACAGGATACAATGTCTTGAGCAATGCGGCAAAAGAACACCACCCTGTAACAGGGCTATTCTTTTCTGCAGGGTGGGGTATTTTGCAGGGTGTCTTTTTGAGCAATGTGGCATCTCATATACAACAAAACCCACAACCCCATGCCATGCAGACGACTATATCTTGCACGGGGCACGTTCCTATGCAGCTCGTAGGCAGGGTAAACCACTCTTTGATACGACGGCTGCCTGCCTACCTTGAACCAACACCGGCATGCTATTTACCCCTAGCACGTCTGCCAAAATGACTGGGGGCGCAGCTTGTGGGACTGAAGCGCACCTTATTCAAGCCTATTTTTCTAGGTTCTGCAGCCCACCGGGGCTCAAAACTGGCCAACGACAACAATGAAAGGGGTCTTGAAATAACAAACACAAGGGCGAGACCGGTGTTCAAGACCTGGCCCCATTCAGCCCTGACAATGGACAGAGGGTCAGAGGGGTTTATGAAGTAGGGATCCTTGTAACAACCTCCAGCACATTCCAACGGATCGTCATTCATTTAATCAATTCAAGTTTCATGTATGTATTTTGACAGTGTGTGCTTCTCGAAATTGGGTTCATTGAAGATGGATCAGGAAATCGGAGGGAGGGAGGGAGGGAGGGGTATTGGATAACCAATTAGTCCTTAGACCCATATAAACCATCCATCGTGCCATGCATGTGACTAACGCCACTGTTCCGGTATAGCATAAACTAAGAATTGAGTGATTGAACCATGCTCATCGGATGACCTTTTACAAGTGTATGGAGTTGCAATGAAGCTCGAAGTCGCATCTTTCCACCATGTCTCCACCTCTGTGATTCCCAAAGTTGTCCATAGATGCTAGAGTACAAAACACATTGATGGCGATTTCCTCCCTCGGGCTGGTTTACCACTGCTAACAACAATTGTCAAGCTACACAGAACATGCTTCAGAGTTTTCAAGCAACCTCCCTAGATGACCACCAATGGAAAACATCTTCCTTCTTCCTCTGAGAGTATGCTTGATGGGTGGGTGGTGTTTGTGGCCTCTGCGGGCTTATGAGTTTGCTCCATATGCAGTGTGTATACCTACATGGGGAGTATAGAAATGGGCAATCTTCAGGAAAGACTCCGGAATAGTAGTACATGTTCTGTCTTGAGTTTGACGGCTCTCTTCTTAGCAATGTGGAACATTTCTGTCTCTGTCATCGTCGTTATAAGTCTCCTTCCTCTGTGCTTTTTAAAGTGGAGGGATTTCCCACCCCGTTCTGCCATCCTCCCATGGGGAGCTCCAAGTATTACTCCCCCGTGTTTGTGTAAAAGGCCTTCTCAACATTTTGTTGTTGAAGCAATTTGCTCTGGCCCTCAATATGACGAAGAGTGGCCGTTTCAGAGTAGCACTGAGTGTGGCTTTGATGGATTGTTTCTATGAACTTGTGTCGGTAAAAGAAGTTGTAGATGCTGCGCCAGGCACATTCTTGATGCACGGGGGTTGACGTTGCTTTTTCTTTGGTGGCTGTTCATCTTTTGTCGGAGCAGGTACGCAGTGGAAGTGGTAATTCGCTCACACCAAAGTATGGCACTAGAATGCCGGCTCCAACTGGTGTGGGGCCTGGGGGGAGTGTAAACAACAGTGCGTTTAGACAAGCACGCACGTTCAACCCAATGGAAGTACGGGTACCGGAGAGGCCGGCTTCAAGTGATGCTGTTCTTGATCCAAAGGGACCGGATCGCAGGTGGGATAATCGTTTTGCCTTGTCTTGGGTACGATTGTGGACATGGTCTTGGGATTCTCTTCTTATGACTGGTTGTTTGTTGTTTGATTGGTCTCATGCAGACACTATTACAGTACACGCCAACGGAATGGTCGATTACTGCTGGTGACTGTCATCTATCTAGTATCCCACCTCTACAACAACCTGGGCTTTTATAAAAAAGAAAAAGAAAAAAGAAAAAAGAAAAAAGAAAAAAAAAGGAAGGCTATGTTTGTTTCCCCTTCCGTTCTTGTCAGGCGCAAGGCTGTTTGCTTTCCATTGGCAAGCGTTATATACATGAAGAAGAGCATTGGGGAGGGGCAAGACATGTGGACAACAAGTGAGACCCTTCTCCAGGATGAGGAATTTGCCAGACCCCTGATTCCCATGATAGAGGCCCATTTGATAAGAATGAGACTCTGGTTATGAGGTGCGTTTGAGTACTAGCTCTCTGTCAAAGGCTGCTTGATGTTTCTCTAGTTGGGGCTGTCCTTGTGGTCATGGCATTGGGGCTGATGTTGTGGGTTGAGACTTAATGCCTATTGTCATCGTGTTCGTTAAACCACCACTATGTCCGAGGCTGTTTTTACGGGTCCGAAATTGTGCTGTGTGCCCAAAGAAAACTGAACCAGTGCTGGCGTGATTTCTTTTCTTCTCGGTTGGTGACACCAGCCATTTTGGTCTGGTAACCCCAAGGCACCAAAAGTTTTTGGTGTATGCAATCTCTCCCTTCGTTTTCTTTGCCTGGGGCTTGTGTAGTGGTGCTTTGAGCACCAGTACATGGCCCCAGCCAAGTTGAGAATCCGATCCAGCCTCTCTTAAAAAATTTGAGGCCAGTAGGAAAAAAAATAAAAACTATCCCATGCCGTGGGGTGGCACTAGGCCCAGGCCTGAACCAAAAAAAGGAAATCCAACCGCCCCCAGGCGGGCCCTGTCCCGAGCTCCCTAACTTTCCGGAGAGGCTCATTCGAATTCTCCAGATGTACTGGTGGTTTAATGCCCGCTGGGCATTGTATTCATATACAACTCCCAGGCGCTATTTTTGGGTGAAGACGTCAGTCCCCGTCCTCCACTTATTGCCATACAAACTTGCTCAGTGGATATTGAATTGAACAGTGTCACTCTGACAGGTTTTCCCGGTTCTGGTTCTGGTTCTTCTTCCGTCGGCAACTGCATGCTGATGTAGGTGCTGTCTAGGTCCTCGCTGGTATTGCACGTTTCGGAGACCGGTTTTTTAGCTCTTGCTTGTTTGCTGGCACGTTCCTGTTATGCTCCAAGGATCAGGCACAGGCAGTATGCCATAGGACTAAATGATGATACATACTATTGTAATGAACCCAATCTCGTCTGTCCAGCAATACAGCAAGTCGATAAATAGCAATGTCCCGTGATAAATTGGCCTGGAATAATCAATCAGATGGGAACACAATGAAGCACCTGATCTTCTGCTGCCACATGTACATTTCCGATTCCAAGAGTAACCAGACTAGAAGAGCGATGGGGGAGGATAGACAGATAGGAAGAGAAGAGGGTAAGTAGCAATCATGGCTCCTCCAGCTCTGACACATCAGTAGTCTGATCACAATCTGACACGTGGAGAAGGCAGCCTTATCTCCAAAGAGTGCACCTAGCTTGATGAACAGCATCAGCAGCAGCGTCAACTGTACGTACACACGACGTCACTCTTCACCCACTCTCTCTCGCCCTCTCCTCACCACCTCGCCGTTGTCAATGGCCGCAGAAAGGGCCGTCATACTCTCTCTCTCTCTCTCTCCTCTATCGCACACAGCTGGCGCCCATGAAGCAGACTGGCGCCAGCTTCCCAACTCAGGTCTCACGTGCAGCATTGAAGCCGCGAGGAATCGCAAGACCGAATGCCCAAGTGGTGGCGAAGTCAAGTCTATATAGCATTGACTCGTGGTCACTAGGGCCAGCTTCAGTCGCAATAAGGCCCGGATCATCGAGATGTTGACGGTTCAGATGCAATTTGTCCCAGTTCCTGGCCGGACTGCATGAGGCCTGAATCTTCGGGAACCTGCAGACCACTGTTTGATCATTCCCAATCGACGGCCAGAAAATCTTGTGTTGACTTTGACATTCTGGATCTGGGCCTGGGTCCACTAGTTGACTGTTGACTTTGCAGTCAGCAATCGGTCTGGACTTTTCCCTCTGGCCTGTTTGGCCTGCCTCGGGCACTGGTCATTCGTGCTTGCCTAGGAAGTGGCCGATGCCCGTTGGGGGGTTCAAGTTGCACATGGAGCACCTGTTTCCAGATCTTGATCCGTCCCCCCTCTCCGACCTCAATCCCGACACCTCCCCCCGATCCTCCCCCGTATCATCTTCACCCGTTCCCCGACCTACACCGTCCTGTGAAATCCCCCGGTCCTTCCCTGTCTCTCCCTTCCGATCCCGTTCTCTCCCCCGCCCGATCCCGATCCCGACTCCTCTGTCCCTATACCACCCCTCTCCCGACCCGCGACATCCTGTATCGCCCAGACGATCACGAACCACGATATCCTCCCCCGATCCCGATTTCTTGGACCCCTCCTGATTTCCCGATCCCGATATACGATACCCTTCCCTAATCCCGATCTCGACTCCTCTGTACTTCATCCAGGTCACCCCCATCCCGATCTTTTCTGTACCCTCCTTGACCGAGCCATCCTGACCTGTGCCATTCGTCCACGATATCTATCTCGCCCCTCCGACCCCGTTCCCTTCCCCCACCCCCCCCTCTCCAGATCTGCGGCATCCTGTATTGCCCAGACTATCTCGATCCGCGATATTCTCCCCTCCCTTATCCCGATCTCGACTCCTCTGTCCTTCATCCAGGTCAACCCCATCCCGATCCTCCGACCTGTGCTATTCGTCCACGATATCTATCTCGCCCCTCCGATCCCGCTCCCTCCCCTCAGCCCCCACCCAGACTATCTCGTTCCGCGATATCCTCCCCTCCCTAATCCCGATCCTGACTCCTCTGTCCTTCATCCAGGTCACCCCCATCTCGATCCTCCGACCTGTGCTATTCGTCCACGATATCTATCTCGCCCCTCCGATCCCGTTCCCTTCCCCCACCCCCCCTTCTCCCGATCTGTGACATCCTGTATTGCCAGACAATCACGATCCGTGATATCCTCCCCTCCCTAATCCCGATCCTGACTCCTCTGTCTTTCATCCAGGTCACCTCCATCCTGATACTTTTTGTACCATCCCTGACCGAGCCATCCTGACCTGTGCTATTCGTCCACAATACTTATCTCGCCCTTCCGATCCCATTCCCTTCCCCCCCCCCCCCCAACCTATACCGCCCCTCTCCCGATCCGCGACATCCTGCATTGCCCAGACAATCACGATCCACAATATCCTCCCCCCGGCCCCTGTTTCCTGATTCGCCCTTCACCCATCTCGACAGTCTATCACCTCGTCTAGCCCCATCCCGTGTCCTGGCTCCTTCCTCCCAACTTATCCCTCAACCCATGTGTCACTCCCCCATCTAAGCACATTTAGTGATAGTAAAGACAGACAGACTCGTGTAGAAGATCTGACACACCTCCTCACTGAAAAGCATGGCTAGCCTGAAAAGGAGAAGGAAAGGAAAAGGAAGACCACGGACAATTTGGTATCAGGGAGCCATGGGTCACCACTCGAGTGATTGGAGGCCCCGAGGTGGGAAGGAGAGGATGGAGATAAGAATTGCGGAAGAAGCCTCCTCCTCCAAACCTCCCCTCTCTGGTCACGCAGGACCACAGTCTCAATCACCTCCCTCTCCGGCAGAGCTGCTAAGAGAAATGAAGAAAATGAAGGATCCACAGAAGGGGGAAGAAGTCCAAAGGTTACCTCTCAGGAATCTTGCCCTTCATGGGCTGATAAACTCGAGAAATGTATTCAGGCCAAACCCTGTCAGTCAAAAGAGATGGAGGAGGGGACGGAGACTTGGAAATCCCACTGCTAAGAGAAATGAAGAAAATGAAGGATCCACAGAAGGGGGAAGAAGTCCAAAAGGTTACCTCTCAGGAATCTCCCCCTTCATGGGCTGATAAACTCAAGAAATGTATTCAGGCCAAACCTTGTCAGCGGAAAGAGACGGAGGAGGGGAGGGAGACTTGGAAATCCCATTAGATAATCTAACGACAGCATCAGCCTTCTTTCTTGCAAAATTCTTGGCCAACCCAGAAGACAAGATAATTAGGTAAGGGGGGAAGAAACACAGGGGCGAAGCCCTCCGGAGCAACATGATCAAGGGGTGTAATATACACCCGCCATGCAAGCACGTGTTTTTCTTTAGCGATGATGCCGCTTACAAATCTGCCAACGACAAGGTAGGGTGGATTAGGAAGCTTGCAACCCTCAAGGGATTAGAGGAGGGAGCACGATACTTCTTCCTAATCCAACCTATCTCATCGACGGTCTTCATGGTTATCTGCATGTTTGGATTCATGGCGGAGCATACCCTGCGGTTGGAGGTTCGGATTTTCCCTTGGTCTCCCCTGAAACAACAAAGACCAGAGGCCAATTAATGATGGATCATTATTGGGTGGAGTTCTGCCATGTGACCAAGTACAGGAACTCGCCGAAAAATACGAGATCGCCGATTTCATTGACCCTCTCCCCCCGCACGTGGCTCCAAGGGACGATTATCTCATGGTAGCCTTGGATATACCCAACAGTCACATCTTCACCATCGATGATGTGATTCTCTTTCGAGTGGGAGGGAGGGACTTCAGAATACATACAGCACACAAAACAAGGCCCTGGTGCTTTAAACCACCAATACACGCCCCCAGCCTTGCAGAAAAGTAAACTTGTTGCCACAAGAGAAATTCGAGGCTTGGGGAGGGCCCGGTAGTGCGTTGGGGGAGAAAGAGGTGGGCCCAGCGGAAAAAGGCAAATGGACTGTTGTTTTGCCCGCCGGTACACGTTCAGTCTGTGACTGTGAAAACACGTGCACGGACGAAGCCTAGCTATAGCAAAAAAAAAAAACT